ATTGCTCACGTATAGACGAGACAGTGTGAGTCAAGCGTTTTCTTAGTGTGTGTCACACGTATTTTAGGACGGCATTTCTGTCCAGACGTCTTATAATGCTATTTCTCTCGTTCTTACGTTTGCGATAGAGGATGGAAGATCGCCGCGACTTCCACCACTATTCCCTCTCCAAGCGTCCGACGATCGTATACCGCTAGCTCCCTCCGCCCCTCCGTGCTGCTCATGGCTCACCTACACGCAGCAGTGTTGAGTGACGCGTTATCGTGTGCGAGTCACACGGATATTCGGACGGCATTAACGCCGGTGCGTGTACAATCTACGCGCACGCACGCACACACGCACACGCACACACACACGCACACACATACACACAATGTACTTACCGTACAAGCGTACATAAGGCAGCGTGGCCATTAAATTACTGTCGTAAAACCAAAATTGCCAGCATCTTATTGCATAAAAAAATGTAACAAAAAAATAAATGGTATGGACGTATTTGCTCATTTTTAACAGAAGAATTTTATAACTGAACGTAATGAAAATGGGTGCCTCCAGTTGCGTACTCTGTGTTACACAAAACCAGTTTATTGGTTGCATATTATCTTACAAGATATTTTAGATAATATGTGACCAATAAACTGGTTTTATGTACGTATGTGTATGATGTGTTAAGCAATTGGAAAGCACCCAATATGTGGCGGTAGCGACCATTTTCTCGCATAACCGGAAACTATCGGACGCATGCCGTTATATGCTTTTAGATAGCCTGTTAGCAATCTAGTTTAATATAGACATCTGTGCATTAACATTATGCAAGTATATATGCTAGAAAATATGCGCACGACACACAATGCTAGTTATATTAGGTTTGTTCGAGTTACTTGTACTTTTACACCTAATGCCCGTTGCATAGTAGTGCACCTCATACAACACAAATTTTCCAAAATTTACGTTCTGAAGATGCTTTTAGGATGACAGAGGGATGTCATCAGAATATTTTTAGGACGTCCTTTGAAAATGTGAGTTGTCTGAAAATAGCTAATATCCAATAAGTTTATTCGCATTAATTGAACTTTTTACACTTTCACACTTAGTGTACATTAAAGCCAGCGGCACACAATGCTTGTTTTTATGCTGGATTGTTTGCTGATTGGTGCATTTCTGAAGATGGATGGAAATACACCAATCAAAACAGAGTATTTCTATCCAGCAAGCAATCCAGCACGAAAACAAGCACCGTGTACCGCTAGCTTAATTCTTTAGAGGTTCTAAAAATGACGTCATGATTTTCGTTCGTGTTAAGCCCGTATCAGACTACGGATTAAGATTGAGATTGAATTGAAAATTAGCCAATCAGAGCAAAATTCACTAAGTTCAAGTTTGGTGAACTTTGCTCTGATTGGCCAATTTTCAATTCAATCTCAATCTTAATCCGTAGTCTGACACAAGCTTTACGAGTGTAAATGCAATTCTAATACACTTTTTACACTTGATCCCAAGCAAGAGTGAAAAGTGTATCAGAATTGTATTTACACTCGTAACACGAACGGAAAACATGACGCCATTTTTAGAACCTTTAAAGAATTAATGTGCACTAAGTGTAAAAGTGTAAAAAGTTCAAATAATACGAATAAATTTATTGGATATTAGCTATTTTCAGACAATTCACACCTTCTAAGAACGTCCTAAGAATACTCTGATGACGTCCCTCCGTCCTGAAAATGTCTTCAGAATGTATTTTGGAAAATTTGTGTTGCACTAGTGTGCAACGAGCATTAGGTGTAAAAGTGTGAAAAGTACAAGCTCGAAAAAACCTATTGACGTTAACTGTCGTTAACGAGTTAAGTTAATAGCGTGTTCGACTGGCCCTGGGTTAATCGCTCCGGGAGCGATTAATGACGTCATAAGTCTTTACTAGCCAATCATAAAGCTTATAAGTACTTGTTCGATCAATAAACGTAGGCTGAATAACCCAGAGCCAGTCGAACATGCTAAAGAGTGGGATACTATAGGTCTGTTCTTTGTAGCTGCACTGCTGAATTGGTGCAATATATTGAAGTGAGACAAATATATGTTTTCTCACTCTAACTTATTGCACTAGTTCAGTAGTGCAGCTATAAAGAACAGGCCTTATGGCACGTATTTCCGCGTAACACATAACCATGTAACCAATCACATCTTTCTATTCTTTTAGAAGTTCCAATAGAAATACTAAACGTCGCATATGTTATAATTAAGTCGTAGAAATTGATCAATCGCGGTCGATTACTCTTCTCATACTCGATCGTGATTGGTCAATAAGACTTCTATTGTAGACCCCGCTTAGTTTTTCTGTGCGAAATTTGCGACTGATTAGTCATACGTTCAATCAGTGAATTAATCAGTCTGTTCATTTTAGATGAATTAGGTTGTGGTTTTTGCTATTAGAATGAAACAAACACATAAATAATTTTCTTTGAAAGAGAAGGAAACAAAATTCTAGTATAGCAATAATTCATCTAAGAAAAACAGGCTAACAGGTCTGTTTGTTTCAGAGGAACTAAGTTGCACTTTCTATTGTTAAAGTGAAATAAATATTGGTAAAGAAAAGAAGAATAAAAGTTCCAATGTAGTATTAACTCAGTTAAAAAGAACATAGGTCTGATGAGATTGAAATTGGGGAATCTATTCGCATTACAGTAGATTTTATTGAGTTTGAATAGTTTCACTGTCCGTGCTAATCAGCATCGTATCACTGAAATTCACTATTTTGTACCATTATCTACAATGTCGTAATACATTCACCTTAATGCGGTTTTTTCGTTAATCTGTGAGGCGCACGCTGTCGATTAAAGTAAATTTCTCCTTCGACATCGGGGAGCATAATATCTATTGCGATTTTATTAGTAAAATAACATGTACATTGAGACGTAGACGAACGTTAAAAAGTTAGGTAAAACGTTAGATATACGAGAGCGTATTCGATCTCTCTCGACAAAATAAATTATACAAGAGTAAATTACACATTTATACTCGAGCAGCACATGTTGGTTAGCTAACAGTTGGCAGCTACAGATTCGATATATCAATGTTTTGTGCGCTGCTCGGGTCATATATAATCAATTTATACTGTACATTGTTAAATTAAACGCAAAACGTAATCAGCTGCATCGGTCGCTTTTGCATGTTAGAGAATCACGATTTCACGATCATCTTGGATAAAATTATTATAGTAAGTATACTTTATTAGTTCTATGTTATATACGTTATGTAATGTTAAATGAGAGCGTAATCGTATAAGCATGTATACAGGGTGTTTGATAATTGTAACACACCAACTTCATAAGGACATAGAGCTAAGCGAGAGAATCAGAAAAGTCCTCTTCCATTTAGCGATAACGCGTCTAGTTTGTTAGTAACAACCGCGTAAAGTTTGGCGTTTGTTACGCCCATCGTGGCCTATAGACGCTTCACGGCGAGCTGTGTGTGTCGAGGCTAAGCGGCAACGCGGCGCGTTCATCGTCGCCTAGCCGCGCGCCGGCAGCGTTAAGCGTCAAGACGCCATCGCGGTGATCAGCGCGAGCCGCATTACCGCTCAGCTTCGACGCACACAGCTCGCCGTGAAGCGTCTATAGGCCGCGATGGGCGTAACAAACGCCAAACTTTACGCGGTTGTTACTAACAAACTAGACGCGTTATCTCTAAATGCAAGAGGACTTTTCTGATCCTTTCGCTTAGCTCTACGCCTCTATGGAGTTGGTATGTTACAATTATCAGATACCCTGTGTATGTGTGTGTATATATATACTTTTTTTATACGAGTGCCGTTAGTACATCGTAAATAACGGAAAATGTATCCGGAGTAATATTACATTAACAAGTTTATTTATACAATTAACTATCTATATACAATATGTTAATACGAATGTCGCATTTTTTTCTTTTAACGTAACATTAAGAAGAGGCTGTCTTCTAGACTTACCTGTGTCACACTAAAATCTGGAATATATATATTTCGCGTTCTCAATAATCTTTTTTATAATATTCTTAAAAATCCTGATTTCGTTATTGTAACGAAATCTTTAAATCTTGCATTAGTCACAATATCTTTTATTAATTTTTCGAATCTGAAGACCCTTACGCAAACTCTGTTGTCGAACGAGTAAACTCGACATGTAATATTTATAACAGACTTTTTTAGATAAAATTTAGATACAACAGAAATGGATTACGTTTCGTTTCAATATCAATAACCGTGATTTACTGAGATTCGTTCAATAGTATTTACTTGTACATATCTACTCGATCCATAAATATGTTTTTTTATCGATGTATTTTCTCCAAATGTCTTGAGAATGTACATTTTTGATCAAGGCTCTTAGATACTCGCCGCGAATATGTTGGATCGTGAGGTCAGAAGTGAGAAATAACATGCTGGAAATTCTTGCGTTTTCAATTAAAAAGATGTTGCATAAAGGGACACTTCAGATTGTCTGAGCATACTTCTAAGATATTTCGAAAACTATCCTTTTCCCGTGATCAATAAATAGCTATAAAACGAATGTGGCAAAATCATAAGGAAAAATAGATAGAAGAAAAAGATTGCATGTCACGTTAATTTTACGGCTATTTACTGTTTCAAGAAAAAGATATTTTCTGAAGCACTTTTACAAGTATATTCAAGCAATTAGAAATGTTCTTTCATACAAATATCTTTTTTTTTTTTAATAGCACGTAAGAATTTTGGACACGCGTTTCTTCGCTTCTGGCGCATCCACACCCAAAATTGAATTTATTAAATAATTTAATTTATAATGTGTTAGAAGCGAGAAAATATACGACCAAAATTCTTGCAAAATTAATTGAAATAAAGTATGTTCACAATGTGTCATATTTTTTTCAATGTATTTTGCAAAAATTTTTAACATGTATTTTTCACTTTTGATGTTATTAACCAAGAATTTTACGGCGAGAGAGTAGGAGCCTTAAAATTTATTAGTAAATCCTTCATCTTTTTCTTATATCGGTTAATGATTCCGTTGCTCGTTTTGCTTTTACTTGAAAGTAGATTATGCGATTTTAACATTACATGGTGTCCTTTTTGATGATAAAACGGGTTTTCTAAAATCAGCTCGCTAAAATTGCAACTCTACTCTTTCGTATTTCCTCTTTTCCACGTATCGTATAAATACGACGATAATAGCGATTTACCCGATGTAACGGCGGATCTTAATTTAGACAGTAGTTCCGTACGTGCTGAACATCACTCTGGTGGTATCTGTGTCTAGGGTGACGTCTTCCGGGGATGCCAGGTCAACTTTGATCGATCCAGAGTTATTTCGTCTTCGTGTCACGCCGCCGCCCCAGTTCGAGAGAGTCCAATGGTAAGTCTCACCTTCTTTTTCGGCGTTTGGCTGCGTTTCCTGCGCGTTCTCGTTCTCCTTGTCCAGACCGGTTTCGATAGAGACTGACGACTGCGAAGCGACGGAGTCGAAACTGGAGTCACCGCCGCCGCCGCCTCTGTATCGACCGACGCATTCTGTTGCCATTTCGCCGGGAGATTCCTCGATGGCTCGCAAGATATTCTGACATAATTCGGAGTCAAGAGGTATTGGGTCCTCCGAGTCGCGGTTGTGGATAGTCACCGCTATGTGAGCCGGGTGCGGAATCGGCAAAGGAATGACTAGCTTCTCTGCACTATACGGACGAATTTGTCGTTTCCACGGCTGCCAACGCCCCTCTGTGCTGTTATTGGTAGTCATAGTGCGTCTTCGGATTTTCGTAGATGTCAACAGACCGCTAGTGTCGCTGCGAAGAATTATGTATTACGAAAAAGTTTTGTAAGAGTAACTCTGCGAATTCAAATAATAAATTGGTCTGAGAAGAGTAATTGTTGAAAAAGTTTGAAAAATAATTACCATCGTTTGTCGGACTTCCTGCTGTTGCTAGGTTGTTTAGCTCTCGGATTGAAGGCCGATACCTCAAGGTACGGACTGTGGACTTGAATATTCCCACGCGGCGCGTAAACCGCGCCGAGTAAGTCAGGCCCATTGATGCCACCGAGCTCGGTACTATGCACCATGTCCGTGTATCGTGACAGGTCGACTCCTGGGTGTGGCTCTAATTTGAACTTAGTGTCCGAATCATCGAGCGGTTGCAGGAAGTCCAAACTGAAGATGTCGGCGTACATGAGCCCGGCCAAACCAGCCCAATCGCACGCTCCCAAACCCTTGTTCTCCCAGAAATCATCCTCGTTCCCGGGCAGTCTCGCGAAGACATGAGTAGGATAAAGACGTTCTAGCATTAGAGCGCCTTGTTGTATGACCACCTGTAACATATATAAAAATAAATGAATTATCAAGGCTCTCACATGTACAATCAACCGGAGACAAAGCCAACGCAAGATTCTTTTACAAGATGTAAATTGCGTAATTCACTCAATTTACAAGTAAAATAAAAAATATTATTTTAAATTGCACATTTATTAGATGACGCCATTTATTTTCACAAAAAACTTTTTTAAATAAAAAGTAAAACTATGGCAATTTACAATAACAAAATTATTTTCAGCGAGTCGCAGCGAGTTCCAATGTTATCTCTGAAAGAAGGATGACTGAATTGGATCTGAAAAGTGTCTGATGAATTCTAGTAGATCCTCAGGTAGCTGACATTGCTAAATTGAATCAGGTTTGTCAATTACTTTTTGAAATCACTAGTAAGATTAAACACGAGTTATCAAAAAATAAATTGCATTGCAAATTAATATTTTTTTGTGAAAATAAATGGATATATCCGTAATCAGCGCGCCGAAAACTATAAAATAAGATCAATCAAGATTCGAAATTTTCTTCGAATAAAGATATAGATATAGGATATATATTAAAGAATGCAATCAAATATTTATATATAGGCACTTTATAAAAATACTAAATATTTATTATAGGCACTAAATATTTATTCTAGGCACTTGATTGCACTCTTTAATTATTTGTATATACATACTTATATACATACATTGTGCATGTTACTGTGCATATTTAGTATATATTTATTAGTATTATAACAGATTATTATGCGCTTAGTGAACTGCGTTAATGCAGCACGGAATGCATCCAGTTATGATGGTTCAAAAGATGGCGTCAAAAGTAATCACCTTCAAGTCGAAAGTGGTTAACTTTATTTTACTTCTCACAGCGACACTAAGACCCGTCTGCAAATTTTTTCTTCGTCGATCTAACTTCTCGTGTAATACAGCAATTAAATCTTTGGCTTCTTTTTCTAACGATCGGTATGGGTCCTTCGTTTTGGCGAGACTGGCGGCGAACGGTCCGAAACAGGCCTCTACGAACTGAGTAAAATCTCTCTGTGGCTGAGTAATTAATCTCTCAGTTTCTTGTTGGAAAGCCAGCAGTTCGTCTAGCTCTAATTTTGCTTCAAAGGCGGCCAATGCTTGTTCTGCTCTTATCTATGTGAGTGCAAGATAGTTCGCTTTATCAGATTTCACCTCTTGGAAATTAGAATAATTTTAATCGAAAGATACTCACTTGATAATAATAATCTGAAGCTAGCCCCGGCCCAGCTATTCTTTTCACAACGAAGCTATCGCTCGCCGGTATTCGGCCCCTGTTTTTGATCACTAGATGGAACATGACCGTATCCCAGAGTACTCTGATCCAGTAACGTATCACAGCAACTGTGGAATTGATTAACTTCGAATATACATCTTCTACACATAATTCTCCGTCGATAGCAGCAGTAAATGGCGTTTGACTCACTTGTAAGTATCACGAATGATATAACGGGACACAAAATGAGGGCTACGAGTAGCGCTGCTATAGGCTGCAAGCATCCTTGAATGCCGATGTTCCATACTAACGCTTCCATTACTACAAGATATCGATTGCGACTTGGTTCAGGACTGTCCAGGTCCATCATGAGAGCCATGAACGCGTGCAGCATCAACGTGACCAGAGGCATCCTGAAAGAGCCGATGAGCTAAATCCCATACGAAAGCGAGAGATCAGCGATGACTGGACAATTATTCTGAAGTAGAAAACTAACCATAGGACAGCGGTCAAGGCAACAATCAGCGACGCGACGCTCGCCAAAATGCACACCACGGGAAACACGAATAGTATGATAAGCGTGCCCAGGAGACCCTTTGCACCGTAATTCCACAGCCTGTTTAAATGTCTGGTCATACCTTTGCCAATGAACCCTAAAAAAATAAAATTTCCACAATGAACATTGTTTTGAGCAATGTTCACTATTGTGATCGAAAGAAGAAGTGTATCTGAGCTTACCAGTGTCCGGTTCTGTTTCGAAGTGTGTTCGACTTTTGCTGATATGCCTCCAAAGCGCTATCAATCGAGAACAGAGGGTGGGCATCTGTGACGATTTCCTCGGGAACAGCGTCCCATTCAGTTGACTCAATTCCAGGTCGGGGGTGAACGGTTGTACCAGCAACAGAGCACGTATAGACACCGGACTACACCACGGTACAGCCACGCCCAATAGGAACATTGCGTTCCAAGTCCAACACCATGTTCTGGCGATGTAATTGATCCAACGCCACATCGGCCATCTTTATGATGATAGAAGTAACAAATATTAGAACATATACTATTAAAAAAGTTCTTAAATGTAATAATGTTTTCAATGGTATATATAGAGTTTAAGAATTTATAACCATATACAAAACCATATACGAAACTTTTCATCAGTTTTTATCAGTATTATTAGTTAAAAAAATTGTTACGATATCTTATTATTTAATATAAAATTATAGAATGAATATGAAACTTAATGTTTTTTATCTTATATTATGTAACTTCCTGTTTGGTTTTCATATTCAGTTACAACATATCATAACATGTTATAAAATATCAGTGTTGTAATATTTAATAATACGCAATTTTCATATTCAGTTATGACCTATTATAATACGTTATGATACGTTATAATACGTTATATATCAGAGTCATTATAATATATTTAATAATACACGGTGATTTCTAAAATATTTATGATGCGGAATTTCTTCTAAATTTTATATTTTTCATTAAATATATAATTAATTAAACCATATACACGAACTTTTTCATAATTTACATTACTTATAAACAACAAACTATATATATGATTAGTTAATATGAGATTTAAGTAGAATTATTGGTAAATGAATCATAAGATATCGATCTTTGAGTTAAGCCGTGTCGATTAAGAGCAGTCACTCGGTGGGTGACCGAAATTTGAGAACTGCACGGAAGAAGAATGTATATAGGATTATTGCAAAAAAGTTAGATTATTTCATTATATACTTCTTAAATTATTATTACGCCACCATAAAAAGTAGATTCAGAATATCTTTTCATGACCACATGCATTATTAAATGCAATATCAATTTAGTTATTTATTCTTATAACTTGGTTATATAACAAAAAATTTCACAATCGAGTTATGAAGTTTTTCTAACATACAAGTGTCCGATTAATCGATTAATCCGATTAGTACCTTGTTGTAGTAGTATGTAAAATCTCTCTCTCGACTAAGAAGACCGGTTGGCTAGGGTCGGCGCGAGGTGTCGTGATAGAAGTCGGTGTATTACTCAATACGGTTGGAATGATCTCGGATTGACCCTGGAAATTGCGCCGTATTATCCAGTTCTTTGGTAGCCAGATTTGCGTCGGCCATTGGAAAGTCCTCGTTGGAGTTTTCACTTTTCGCAGTTCTTTCAAAAGAACTGGTTCTCGCTGTGAAACAGATAAATTCAAGTCTTCGGTGCGCTAGGGACGAAGAAAAGAAAACTAAGACAAAGCGTTACATACCTCTTTCATGAAAGTTAAATCACGGTTAAGGAAATATACAGTCTGTTGGAGATTCTGATTACTGCAGAGCGCGAGAGCTTCCTCGTGCGCGCTCCACTCGCACTCTTCTATAAAGTTCTCCTCGGCCTCTCGCATGCGATCTCGCATCCATGGTTGTATCCGTGACAAGACCGGATGTTCGCTCTCCATGCGACGTCGTAGAGATTCTTTGGTTTGCGATAGCTTCCGTTGCACATTTTCCACTGCTCGGTGCATCAGTACGACCGATTGCGCTTGTTGAACCAACAGCTGAGCAATCCCATCGCCTAACGCGAGTATGTCCGGGTGTGACAAGATGTTCGAGTACACTCTCTGGAGGTACTCGCGCATCACTGCTTCGTTAACTTCCTGAATAACGAGTAACAGTAAATGTTAAGCATCGACCACCAAGTTTAGCGAAAAAATTCCTTACTCGTTCTATCTCCTCGTCCGGTTTCTTTTGTGCTCTCAGTTCTGATATCAGTCTTTCTCTAAAGTGAAGAAACCAGCCTCTTGTCTCTCTCTCCAGAATCGCGACCAGCGTCGGCAAAGCCTTTCTGATTATGTCCCTGCTGAATAATCTGAGATCAACTGCGGCGCCGCCAGGGGTTCCGAATACGAAGGGAACCGAAACGGGCAGCAGCTGGGACGATTCTCTCTCCACCTCGAACTTCTCTGTAGTTGCCCGGCGAAGTTGTTTACGTATAAATCCGCAAAGTAATTCCAGGGAATCTTCATATTCCGACTGAAACAACGCAGGAGAGCGGGAATAATTACTTGCAAACTAAGGTCGCGTCAGATTATCGAGCATAAAACCCAATCAATGAAGAAAATAAACGTCTTACCCTGCAGACCAATTCTGCTACTAGGTATCGACAACGTTCCTCCCTAATTTTAGCGTCTAGGTTGTGTGCCTGGAGCGACGGCACGCCGATTATAATGTCTGCGAAGAGTATATATGCGAACGTGTGTGCATGTATGTATATATATATATATGTACATAATGCGGATAATCGGTAATGCAGATGTGCGCGGGTTCGCAAACGTCACGCGCACAGATGACACGAAACTGCGGACTCACCGACAAGTCGTAATAGTCCTGTCAGTAAGGCTTTGAGAGACTGCGAGACACTGAAGCAATGGGAAACTAATCTAGCCTTTGCTGTAACCACGAGAAATCTGGTCGCCAGAGCGAGATCGCCGAGCAACGCGTCCCGCCTTCTGTCTCTGCCGCGTTGCAACAGACCGCTCAATCGCCATCGATGAGTCTGCCCGGCGAAATTGATCGAGTCCACCTCAAACTCTCTGTAAGGAGAATCATCGATTATTCACGTGTGCCAAAATGACCAGAAAGCGATTTGTACGTGACGGCTAAAATTATACAAAGCGCTGTATACTCTAAGTAAACAGTACTGCTGGTATCCTTTTTTTCAGCAACAAATAAATAAGGATGGTGTTATAAAAAAAAAGGAATTACATGGTGATAGGTCTACTCACTTGCTAGTTTCACCAAAGAGACATTTATTCGAGAGCGTTGCTAATCTGTGCTTTATTATACACTTGCTCGACTATATATCAACTTTTTTATGACGATCAAGCTATAGTTTTATTTTTTACACAACAATTATATATACATATATATATATATATATATATATATATATATATATATATATATATATATATATATATATATATAGAGATATACAGGGTGTTTACGAAATACTTGTATAAACTTTTAGGGAGTATTCCTCTCGTTAACTAAAGAAAAAAGTTTATATAAATCTATAATTGAATATAAGTAATTGCGAAGTAAATCAAAATTTACGTTAACGTTACAATTAAATAATCATAAGTAAACTTAAATTATAACACAAGTAAATTTAAATTATAACAAATACTCAAAATGGCTGCCATTTGATTGAAGACAGGCATTGACACGATTGGTGGAATAAGGAGGTCGAATCATTTCAAAGCTTCGCGAACGATTCCGTATAATATTAATATATTCACAAATATTAATGATGCGTTGGTAAAACATTTCTTCGTTATTAATAAGTTGTAAATATACTAAATGCTTTATATGTTCTCATAGATTCATATTAATAGTCATTACTTGAAATTCGTCTCGAATGATACTCATATTTTAATTCAGAGTTAGATGAGAGATTTTCTATTGAATCCGCGCGCAACTATATATATATACAGGGTGGACCATTTTAATCCATCCAGTCGAATATGTCGAAAACCAAACACGGGAGAGAAAAATATTTCAGACAAAAGTTGTAAGGCTTAAAAAAACGCATTCAACAATAGTAGTTATTTGACATAGGATGGCGTCGCCAAGGTCAGGACAAGGTCAACTTTGCTTTTTTAAATAGAAATACATATTTTTTATTGCGGCATTTTATTCAACGTAAAAACGCAAATAACTTTTGCTTGAAAAAATTGTTTATACGGCCTCTA